TTTGATTATTTTTGTGGGGTTTTAATGCCACCTTGCAGGACAGGTCTTTGGCACAGCTGCTGTGCAGCAGCAGCAGAGGTGGTGGCATCCCAGGGGAAAAATGGGAAGTAAGAGTATGCTGCTAGGCAATTCCCCTGACACCAAGTGCATCCTGGTGGTCCTGGGGAAGGAGGAGAAACTGGTCACAAGACTGCATGACCTGTAGAGGTAAAGGCCTGCTCTTGCCCACCCTCACCCCTTCCCTAGGGAAGGAGAGGTACCCCCATGTTTCTAGCCATCTTTCCTGTAAATTACCTCAGACCAGGGCAGTGACTCACCTGCTTGCACTGACGCAGTGCTGCAGATCCTGACTGTGCAGCATGAGAGACACTTAATGAAAAGATGGATCTTGGTGCCTGAAATAAACTTTTGTAGCCTGACTGGATGGCACAGAGATGGTTTTAAATGGTGTATTGTGCTACCTGCATATAAAACCAAAAATGTAGTCCCTGTCCCTGAAATCCTTAGAATGTAAAGGATGTTGCACTCTGGGGAGGGAGAAAAGGGATGAATCTTTCCTGTTCTGAAAACCAGTATCGATGAGCTCTCAGGTCTGCCAAAAGTGTTGCATGAGAAACACTGCTACTGCTTCTTTCCTTTGGAAATTCATTTTGACTTTTGGCAGCAGAGGTAGCCACTCATGTCTACTGTGTCAGCTGCAAATACTAGAGCACACAGAGAAGCTTAAAATGAATAATAGTTATATGGATCCTACTGCCTTCATGAAGTGTAATTTAAAAGTCTACCTCTTGAGAGTCTTAAAAAAAATAAAAAAGTTCAATTACCTTGTTCCTATATTTCACTAGTTTAATCACCATTCATTGTAATGGAATCTGTGTTTAAATTACCAAATTGCAAATTCCAGGCTAAGACTATAGTGGTTGGGCACATGACATGGACACTCGGGCCCAGAGCTTGCTGTTTGGTCATAAAGCAGAGGAGTGGCTGACCCAGGATGCTGGCTGTAGTTAGGTCTTGAATGTCTCAGGGATTAAGTGGTAAGTGGTGGCAATACAACCAGATTCAAACCCCTTACAACAGCTAGTTGCAGGCTATGAGAACTTCAGTGTTCCTTTTTTGACCTCTTTCTCACTCTTAAAATAAAAGATTGTTTTGAATGTCCCTGCATCAATAGAGCCTGTGATAAGTTCATATGTTTAGGTAGCTGTAGGTGTGAATTTGACCTGTTAACCTTGGCACTGTCCCTTTGTGCAGTGTGCTTTATATCTATAAATATATACCTACTTCTGTTATAGCTTGTCATTTGCTGTCTTGCAAAACAGATATAAATAGATACAAGTTCTTGATGCTTGTTCTGAGATGGTAATATTATATGGTCCATTGGGGGGGATCATTTTATGGTCAATGGGTCAGCACAGAGTATTAATGAGAAGTAGCTGGCCTGTGAAGGGGATGTAGAGGCTCTGTGCTTTGTTCAACCCCTGAACTGCTGTTTTCTGAAGATGGAAACAGGGAACACAGCACTGCTGGTGCTTGTTTGGGGTTGGCTGCATTGTTTTCTCTACCGTTCTCATAAGTGCAAGGCTTTGATAGAAGTATTAAAAAAAGAAAAAGTCTGGTATCCTAGTCTTGACGTATTCTGAAACAAAAGCTTGATTTCAGATGTTGTAAAGGATCCACTGATGAGGCACATGCCCATTGTGAGCATCAGTACAATCACTAAAGCTGTGCTTTGGCAGCTCCTTGAACTGACTGCTTAACTGCTCATCCAACTTTACCTGGAAGTACTTCATAAATCTGCATGAGATTCAGTGTGTTCAGTAAGCAGCTGTGAAAAGCACACTGTGGTTTAATGGGTGCCGTGCGTTGCTGATAAGGGGAACATTACATGAATATAACAGTAACTAATTTTTAAAATGATAGGGTTTGCATGAATGAGGTAGGACTGAGTTCTGCCAGGTGCTGTAGGAGCACAAACCATCTCTTGTTTTAGAAAGCTTATGGGCAATATACAAGACAAGAAGCAGCACGCAGGTGTTGAACTGTTCTTTGTCAACAACCCAAGCAAGCTGCTTTCTCCTTTCAGTGGTAGCACATCAAACCATCTGTTTGTTACAGGGATGCCTGTGTTCTGAAATATTCTGTCATTAGTTTTGAATTAAGTCAGTCTCCCTTTCATTTGTGAATTAATCCCTTCTAATGCAAACAAACATCACAGTTGTGGTTGTCCAGGTAATGTTAATCTGCATCATACGTAGGCTGAACACACAAAACCTAAGTTATGATTACAGACAAAGACAGCTTTGGTTTAGACCAACACTGAGCTCTAGGTGTGGTAATTGAACTGTGGAAGTATTACTTTTACAAAACACTTTCTTTTATGTGGATTTTGAGTTCTGAGGTCATTGTTTGGGACAACATGTTGATTTGGAACCCTAAACTAAGATGGAAATAGTTCTTTGAAAGTGTTTTGTTTAATTCCTGAATTTACTTTTGATTGAGATTGTTAGCTTTACTCCCTCCCCCTCCTTTTTCTCTCTTTCTTTCTTTTTCTTTTTTTCCTTTTCCTTTTTCTTTGCCTTTTGTTAAATGTCTTCTAAGTAGTGCATTTAATAGCAAAGTGAGAAGAAGGTGCACACTGATCACTCCCCTAGTGGTATGAACTCTTGTTTAAAATTTCAAGACTTTGAACTTGGCTATTTCTGACACAAGAAGAACATTAGTATCGTTATCATGATTACAAGCTGAAAGCCAAAAGCTTTTAAGATTAACAAAGTGGAGTGGTAAAGTGCAACCTTTGTCCTGGGTTCTGTGGTATGTTTTATTCCGTCTTTCCTCTCTGAGATTTTATTGTTAGTGTGCTATGGCAAGCAGGACTAGATTTATTTTTCCTATAACAACACTGATGCCTACTACAAACTATAAATCTTTATGGATCAATGAACAGTATTGTGGGTTGGCAAAAATCTCTGACTTTGTATCTGGGCATAGTCAGTTTGGTTTTGAAGTACTTCATTGTAATAAATCTTAATCTGTTTCTGAGAGTGTTGGCCAAGCATGTTGGTATACTGTTACTTTTTTTTTCTCTTTTTTTTCTCTCACTGCTTACCTCAAGTAATACATTTATAGGGCATTGGGGTAGTAGATTGCTGTTGTCATGCTGCTTGCCTTGTTTTGCTGATTGCTGTCAGTCAGATCTTCATCTTCTTTCCAGCTCTCACCCCTAACTTGGAACAGAATATGGACATTTTGGTCTCTTACTTGGCCAGCTACCTCCCTCCACTATGACCCAAAGCAGTCTGTTCTCTAAGTGTTGCCTGAGCAGCTGATTTTCTGTCGTTGTTCTTTCTGTTGGGAGCTAATTTCTAATTGTGAGAAAGTGAGATCAGAAGAACCATTTCCAATACAGTAGTAATATCCCAGGGAACTCTTTATAAGGCTGGTCTGACAATATCAGGTTTTAGAGGGCCACATTGTTCATTAATCACCATGGTGGAGTTTGTCTTCTACAAGTTTGAGGTGGGGAATCTGTGCAAATGCTGTGGTTGGGGACCAGAGGCAGATCTCCAGCCTGAGATTAGGGTATTTTTGGTCTTTTGGGAGAAGTGTGGTGTTTGGGTGAGTGATGTAAGGAAAGAAAATGCATCAAATGGTTTACCACGGATATTTATTCTAACTCCTCCACACCGTAGCTGCATGTATGACAGGTTTTGTTGGCATTTCTGTGCTGAAATATATCTTCATTTGAATTATGATCTATCATGAAAATGGATGTATGTAATGCATTAAAATAGCTAATGGTGTTTTTAAGGTTAATGTCAATTGTGGAGCTGTTCATCAGGTTCATATGCTTTGTGCACAGTGTTGGAGCTTTTAAGTGAAGTTACTTTCACGATAAGGGAAACTCTGCCTTTATCTCAGAGTAGTAACAGTCTTTAGAATGCTTTATCTCAGAGTAGTAAGAGTCTTTAGAAAAAATAAAAATAGTGGAAAACCTCAGATGCTGTATTTATGTAGCATTCAAAGCATCCCATAAAGGGTGTCAGTGGAAAAAGGCTGCTGACTGAATTTTTAAATATGTGTTGGTAGCAGCACAAATGAAGCTATAACCGTAAGTTGTACTTCCTCCTACCCCAAAAGCAAACCATACTGCATTCATTGTACGGCTAGATGTCAATGCAGAGGACATCACAATGTCAGAGAACATCACAGCAGTCACTAAAGGACTCGAGCTTCCCCCTGAAGGCAGGGCACCCCGGGGGGGAATTCATTAGCTGCTGTTATGGGTGAAGGAGTCGGTGCAAGAAACCAGGTTGCTCGGTCCCAGTTCAGGCAGCTTCTGCCGCTCTCAGCAGTCCTGTGTTCTGCTCCGTGAAGCTTTGTCAGGTCAGCAGCGCTGCCGCGGCCCCGTGGGCGGCTGTAATGCTTCTGGGGTCTGGGACTGCTTCCTCCAGCGTCGAAGCTGACTGGGGGCACTACATAGTGAGCTGAGGCGCAGTCACAGTTGCCTCTCTGACTGGTGGTACTGTTTAATAGCAAACATTGTCTCCAAATTCTGATTTTGATATGTGGCTGTATGAAAGATGCAGAACTTTTCCTATTATTTTCCTCCTCTAGGAATGTATATTTCGTGTATTTCTTTGCTATCAACACCGCTTTATTTTCAGTGACCAGATGTGAAAAAAGGCCCGGAGCCGCGCACCTTCACTCGGGTGCGCAGAGTCAGCCGGTATTCGCTTGCTCAGGGGCTGCGCTGTGCGGGGAGGGTTTTCCCGAGGGAAGTTGTAAGGAACCCCTCCAACCGTGAGGGTTTTCCTCACGGCTGGAACAAGTAGCGGGCAGGCCCCGTGCCCAGCTCGGCGGGTTCCGGCACGGGACAGCGCGCCGGGAGCGGTCTGTACTTCAGCGCCTCTGAGGTACCCGGCCGCGCCGCGCGTTCGCGCTGTGCGGCAGCGCCCCCTGGCGGCTCGCCGCGCTGACGGCTGCGTTTGCCCCCGCAGGCCGCACCGGGAGGTACACGCTCATCGAGAAATGGCGGGACACGGAGCGGCACCTGGCGCCGCACGAGAACCCCATCGTGTCGCTGAACAAGTGGGGGCAGTACGCGAGCGACGTGCAGCTCATCCTGCGCCGCACCGGGCCCTCGCTCAGCGAGCGGCCCACCTCGGACTGCGCGGCACGCATCCCCGAGAGGACTCTGTACCGGCAGAGCTTGCCGCCCCTCGCCAAGCTGAGGCCATCCGGCGACAAAGCCATGAAGAGGAGGGAGCCGAAAAGGAAGTCTCTCACCTTCACCGGTGGGGCCAAAGGGTTAATGGACATCTTTGGGAAGAGCAAGGAATCTGAGTTCAAGCAAAAGGTGCTCAACAACTGTAAAACAACAGCAGACGAGTTGAAGAAATTGATCCACCTCCAGACGGAGAAGCTCCAGTGCATTGAGAAACAGCTGGAGTCCAATGAAGCTGAGATCCGCTACTGGGAACAGAAGTATAATTCCAGCCTGGAAGAAGAAATTCTCAAACTAGAGCAGAAGATCAAAAGGAATGAAGTGGAGATTGAAGAGGAAGAGTTCTGGGAAAACGAGCTGCAGATCGAACAGGAGAATGAAAAACAACTGAAGGAGCAGCTGCAGGAGATGAGGCAGAGGATCCTGGAGTGCGAGAGCAAGCTGAAGGACTACGTGTCTCAGATCCACAACATGGAAAGTGGCCTTGAAGCAGAGAAATTGCAGCGGGAAGTTCAAGAGTCCCAGGTGAATGAAGAAGAGGTCAAGGAGAAGATTGAGAAGGTGAAGGGTGAAATTGATATTCAGGGTCAGCAGAGTCTGAGGCTGGAAAATGGCATTAAAGCTGTAGAACGCTCTTTGGGCCAAGCTACCAAACGGTTACAGGTAAAGCTGTCTTTTTTTTTATCCATAGCAAAAGAAAAGCCAAAGGCGTAGCTGTAACAAATTTTTCTTTCACAGATTTGGAGAAGACATGAGAAAGTTTCCACAGGGAGTTGGGATAAAAGAGAGAAAGTGTTGGCTTCATTTTCAAATTGCATTTCAGATTTGTTTTAAGGACAGGCAGTTTCGATTTCACCTGTGTGTATTTTGCTCATTCAAACCATGTGGGGAAAAAAAAGCAGTAGTTAGTTCTTTGTCTCAAGATAAACCAGCAGATGTTTGGTGGGTGTGTTCCTGACCATTCAGGGTGTCCTGCAGGGTTAGTACTGAATGCCGCAACACCTTCCATTTATTTACATGCTGGCTCAGTTTCTTTCCCACCAGTCATGGCTTTGGTTTGCTACCGTTCCCTGATTGCCTGGTGACCTCTGAGAAATCACTCAGTGCCTGTCTTCACTGTGCAGCGGTCCGTGATTGAGAAACACCAGAGCCAAAGTAGCTGAGGGAAATATGGCTGCACCCACAGCAGTGTATCTAACTGCCTCACCCTGCTCCAGAGTGGTGCTGTGCACCTCAGACAAATAATACCTCCTGCATGAACACTCAAGGTTTGCAGGGGACTGTTGTACTGCTGGGTGTTAAACAAGACCATAGTGCTCTCAGCCTAATGCCTTTACAAGTATTTGTCTTCAAACCCCTGTATTTGGGGATAGACATTTTGAGGATTTAGGTCCTAGGTCTTGGTACCTCCAGAGCTTCATATTGTTGAATTTCAGGGAAATTTACACCATCACAGCCTTCCCTGAGGCTAAACTTCTGATTCTTGCTAGATTTGTCTGCCACCAAAATAGAGGCATTAAAAAGAACAGTCCAAAACCAGCACCTGGATAGACAGATGTAGAGCTAAAGTGTTAGCTTACAGGGCTTTGTGTTAAAGACTAGCATCTCTTCCTTCAGTTGTTCAGGATTTCAGGTGTTCAGGATTTTATTTTCTCTACACCTCAGGCATTTGTGGTTCATGTGTGTCAAAAGAGAATCCAGTCTGTGCTTCCTTGCTAAATTTAATGGTGTCACCTGGAACTTGTGCTAGAGCACAAAATAATAAATGTAAATGGAAGTCCAGCTGCTAGCTGGACAAGGTGAAGGAAAGATTATGTCTTCTGGGATTTTAATGTGCCACATAAGATAGGACTGAGGCACCACGTATCAGTTTGAGTTGCGATTGTTGCTGTATTCCTGGCACTCGCAGTTACGATGTTCCACAGTGCTGCAGTTGCAATAAGGCGATTCTGCTGATAAAATGTTACGGGATTTTATATCCTTACTCCTGAACACCTAAAAACATGTCAGTATAAGCTGGTTTTACTAAATGAGGAGGGGAAAAAATCCAAAGCAAAATGGATGAACACTGTAGTTTTGGCCTTATTTATCTGTCTCAAGTTTCCAGGCACACTGTGCTTAAGGGTTTGCACTAACAGAAAGCATAAAGTCCTCTTTATATGTCTTACCCTATCCTCAATAACACACTGTTAGGCTATGATAGAGTTCAAAATCTTTATGGCTTTGTTTGTTTTTTTTTTCCATAGGCTGGGGTTTTGCTTTCTTGGGAAAGTTCCTGTTAAATTCAGTAGATTTTAAGTGCTAAAACCAGGAAGGCAGCATTATTAGAAGCTTGGGAGAAATCTGTAGTAATTTGTGCTCCCTCTTCTCTTTCATTCCTTTTCTCTAGCCACTTCAGTAACATTACTTTCCAGGAATATGAGGCTATGTTCAGTTAAGGATCAGAAGCAGCACTTCGCTCTCCCTGCTTTTAGACAAAGACTTAAAAGAAAAAGGAAAAAAAAAAAAAATTGACAACAAAATAGGGCAAACCCAAGCAAACAAAAAAATCCCATCCATCCCCCCCCCCCCCCCCTTTCAGGTAAAAGGTTTCACTAAAGTTTCACAATTAGTAATTAAATTGGAGCTTAAACCTGTAAGATTTGGAGTGATAGTTAACATTTTTTTACCTTACTTCCTGTGGAGGTTGAGTGATTTGAAAAACAACAAAACTAATTCTCTTCAGTGGTAACTTGGTAACAATCTCATAAATCATGGAGCTGTAGTAAGTACAGACAGTTAAGAGTTTCCTGTCTCCTAGTGCCCAGCTGTAAAGTGTCATGGGCCTAAAATAAATTGCAGAATTTTTCTGTAGAATTGTCTTGAAATTTGGGGGTGTGGGGGCTGGCTTCCAGTTGTCAGTCCAGTTTCTGCAAAAGCTCATAGCGAATGAATGGGAACACAAGTGTATCACAGGAAGCTGAGGCCAACTACATGATGTGTGTTGACTGAACAGATCAAACACATCAGTGGCAAAGCAATTGCCATTTAAAAGGTCCTAATTCAGATCAACTGTGTTGGTTTTCTTACTGTTGGATTCAGGCTCAACTGTAACTTACTACAAGCTTAAAGTGGATGAGGGCTGTGCTATCGGGGACTATTCCTAGATCAGATCTACAAAACTATTCTCCCCCAATCACAGTGTGAATTTGTGTATAATTCTGTTTACACAAGATAATTAGGGGAAAAATTATGGGGGTAAAATACCTTTCAACTCTTTCATTTGCACCTAGATTTAAAAGTCGGGGACTTTCTCATCAAAAGGAGAAGCATTAGTTGCCCAATTACAAACAGTCTTGAAAAGCTGTTTTAATGCTCTATCCACTGCTGCTAAACAGATGTTTTCTTTCCTGGCAGGACAGGGAGCAAGAACTGGAGCAACTGACAAAGGAGCTGCGACAGGTTAACCTGCAACAGTTCATCCAGCAAACAGGAACGAAGGTCACGGTGCTGCCAGCAGACCCTGTTGAGGTGGAAGCCCCACACGTGGAGCTTGAGAGAGGTGCAGCACTCATAATGTTTTTGGTCAGCGGGGAAGGGAATGTCAGTGCATTTACCTGCTGCCTTAATGCTAGCAGTCATACATTGACTGCTTTGCTAACAAAGAAGCTAGTAAAATACTAAGAAAGCACAGTGTCAAATATTTCTTTTCATTCCAAGGGTTTAGCAAGCTATAAATACAGCACAGTATGTAGATAACTTCTGTCCTGCTGTGCATTGGCATGCATTTGACCCATCAGTAACCCATTAAGCCAGTAGCTTTCAAGTGCGGCCTCTATGGCTGCAGGCACATAAGCTGGCACGCAGAATGATCGCATGCCTTACATTGCTGTTCATCTGGGATCATCTTCTTCTGGTGGAATGTGTAGAAAAAGGAATGCATCTGGATCTCAAGAAATACCAGACAGCAGCCACATGGGAATAGGAGCTAATCCAGCTGGGCTGCCCGCCATCCAGAAGTCCTACACATATGACTGTTGCAGCATGTCAGACTAGCCTTGCCTCTAAGTGAGATCAGTGCATTTTGCACATGCCCACATCTGAATTCAGAACTTCCCAGGCAGGAGCATGGGAGCACTTTGAATGTGTATCAGAACTGTGACATAAGCAGAAACTCCCTTGGCACTTGGCTCAGCCTCTGCTGTCTTGTGCTTATCCACTGCCTGCTTGCAGGGGGCCTGTTTCTCTCAGCATTCTCCTTAGCTGGTTCTGTCCTTACTTTTAGAAAACTTTCTAACTGAAAGGGATTGAGAGGTGGGGAGAGGAAGCAACCAGGCCTTTGAAAGTCAGTGCTTGCATGAACTTTCTCTTTTAAGTGGGCAGGAGGCTGAAGCTCTGAGTGACATGTAGGCTAAACCACTTTCTGCATGTTACTGTGTAGATGTAATACATCTATCAGTGTCTATCAGTGTGCATGTTCCTCCTGGGAGGGCAGTTACATTGTGTAGGGGTATCCTTCTGTTTTGGAGTAGGAAGTGTGCGTCTTGGATCTCATCACTTCCCAGTCAGGTGTTTAACTTTGTCATTGTATATGGTATGTAATTTTTCCGTGCCAAACTAAGTACATACTGCACCAGGCAGAAAGAAGTGTTCTAGAGACACCACCTTGGTGAGGACTTTTCTAACTGCCCTTTTTCTTACACAGAGCCAGCATTTCAGTCTGGGTCACTGAAGCGCCCTGGCTCATCGAGGCAACTCCCCAGTAACCTTCGGATTCTACAGAATCCCCTGTCATCTGGTTTTAACCCGGAGGGCATTTACGTATGACAGTACATACCTCTTCTGGAGAGGACCTAGCAAGGTACCCTGGACAAGATACACTTTTGTTTTGTTCTGCCAATGATGAATGGAAGAAGATATTTTGTTTTCCCTTTTTGTTTTGTTTCCTTGCTAAGCCACCGTAATATTTTCTCTTCTTCCTCCAACACACCACTTGGAGCCATAACCTGTGCACTGATGCTAAAGAGACAGAGCAACTGTCTCAGTTCACACTTGGCAAGGATGACCTTGCTGTCAAAACAGCTAGAGTGCAAAAACCTTCATTTGTTTTTGCCACTTCAGAAGTGTTTGGGAAAGTATTGTTCCTTGTATAGGCATAAATAAAAGACTGAGGGTGAAGGAAAACACGTATGCAACTTACCTGAGGTTTAATTTATTCCCTTTAATCAATGGACGTGTGAATGTTGACCTTTTATATTTTTATTTTTAACTTGTGAATAATCGTGTATGGCTGTATGTCAGTCTGACAAGGTGACTTTAGTCTGTGGGTACAAACATCCACCGTTTGATCAAATACAGTGATTTTCAGTGCAGAGTTCTGTGGAGTGCCGAACCATTAAAATGGTTTCTCACCACTAACTCTGTTAATTTCTGTTGTGGGTCATATTATGTCATGTTCCATCCATAGCTGCCTTCTAAGGCTTGAAAAGTGAGCTTGTGGGATTTACTTGCTGTTGAATCTGCCTTGAATGAAGCACCTAGTGTTCAAAAGATTTATGGAATTTAAACCTTGGCTTGGTAAAAGTATTTCCAGTATATGATTGAGGATGCACTAGTTAGATGATATTTTATTATATAGAATGTATATTTGAAATATTTTGCCACATTGTATATGCCTTTTGAGAAAAGAACAATGTAAGAAGTTGTCTTCATATATCTTACCAAAAGAGAGTAGGAGGCTTTCACTGTGTGTGATTTTATACTTTATTTTTTCCACTAGCCGTTACAGTGTTCTTATTTTGCGGTAAATCTTACTATTGGGGGAGAAAAAAAGACCAACAAACATCCACAAAAAACAAATCAGTATCCTCTTCCAGCCTTCCAGAATTCATTCATGTTTTGTGGAGGGAAGAAACCTGGCAGAGTCCCCTGCCCTCAGTTGGGGCTAGGATTTCATTCCAGGTCCCCAGTCTTAAATGGCTGACGTTTAGTCCCTTTGGAAGATGTATTGCTGCTCAGTCGCTTACAGTATATAAAGCTTACAAACAGGAAATGCACAGGTTTGGTAGTCATTTTTTACAAAGCACATGAAAAGAGAATATTATCGTATCTTGATGTCACTCAAATACAATCAGAGCTGAGCAAGAATTAGACAGAATGGCTTTATGCAGAAAGTAAGACCAAGTAGCATTTTGGCTATAGGCCATGAAATTAGATTGCTGGAGTGGAACCCAAGTTTGTAGAGAAAGTTACTGCCATCAGTGGGACACGCCATATACATTAAGAGACTGGCCTCGTGGATGAGTTAGAGAAGGGATGGGCTTTACCCAGCTGCATTCAGATTTCCTACTCTAAGAGCAACTCATATCCTCATCCCCACCTTGAGGTGAGAAGAGTCACCGTGCTTTTGCCACTGTGTAGAATACCTGCACTTCAGTTAGTGCCAGAACGACAGAACTCTTGATGCCCTTGAGAGGGTCAGGATTTTGCCACTGGTAGGAAATGTCAGTCTTTTTGCCATAGAAATTACTTAATAATTCTGGACTCCTGGCATCCTCTTGTGTTGGTTTACTGACATGCAGATACATGTTACGTGAAGTTTCCTTTTTTTTTTTCAAAAAGGAGCTTCCTGACAAGTGAAAGTTTTATAAGGTATAGTAGAAGATGAAGGACTCCTGAGTGTTTAATGCATTTTTTTTTCCTTTTCCACTTATTAATGGCATCATATATTCTAAAAATGCTGCTGTATTTAGACTAACAGCACCAGATAAGGCTGTGAATATATAAAGGACCTTTCCAAATGAACTCTGAATTTTTAGTGTTCAACTTATCAGGTCTTTTTTTTATTACTATTTTTATTTTCCTTTGTGAGCAAACTGGAGAATGAGATGTTCCTACCTGAGGAATCTTGGCAGTGCTCACAGATTTTACTGTTCATTTATCACAACTCTGTGCTCACATTCACTGTGCCCATAACTTTTTATTAAAAAAAAATAGAAGAATGTGTGTGTATATATATATATATATATATATTAAAAAAGAAAGTAAAATTTACATAGTTTCGGGACAATATCTGTCCAAGGTACTTGAGCATATATGCCTTACATTGTGAGTTCAATTTACAGAAATGAAATGGCCCTCTCCAGTGGGTATCTTGCATCGTCAGCACCTCTTGATGTTAGAGAACTGAGGCACTCAGCACCTTGCAAAGTCTGGCCCAAATTATGCTGCATGGGGGTGGGGGAAAACACAAGGAAAAGCCTGTTGCAACTTCAGGCCGGTGCTGAGGTAAAGTATTTTTAAGGCAGATCAGCATACTTTTACCCAGCTGATGTTTTTGTCATACTCTGTGGCTGGTCCATCTCCCACAGATGTCAGTCTGAGCTGAATTGGATTCTTGCTTCATAAAAACTGCTCTTTTTCTCTGTCATGTTATTCTATAAGAGGGAGGGAGGAGGAAAAGGTTTAAAAGGAAGGGTAAGAGCAGCTTTGGAGGACTTGAGTTATGGCTTTGTAATAGAATCAAGGAAGGAATTTGCTGTTTAAGTTAAAAAATAGCACCTGCTGACTGCAGCAGCTGTTTGATGGAGAGGCCAGCCGGGAGCTGGCTCAGGAGTAGCCACCACATCATCTCTGAGTGGGCCTTTCTTGTCAGGGCTTTAGCATATGTCAAGGTGACCTGGAAAGTGTTTACAGCTTCAGCCACTGCTATGTCAAAGGAGAGGCTTTGGTACCCAGACCTGTCATTTGTGAGACGCTGACAAATTCCCTTGCCCCTCACCATGCTCCTCTTGTTAAATTTCACCCAGGCTGAAGTTCTGTAGCATTTTCACCTTCTGTGTAAATAAACCAAAAAGAAATGGCATGCCCTTGCATTAATGTGAACTGAACAATGTATTACAGTTATAAAAACTCCTCACATTATGGCATTAAGAGTTTTGCTTCTGATCAACTGCAGAACCTCACTCTTTCTTTACAAATGTAGAAAAACATGTTTCAGAAGTGTTTCAAATCTGCTTATGGGGCATTAGCAGCAAGGAAGCTACACACACTAATTTTAACAAGTGCCATATGGTTTACTGGGCAGCATGATAAAAACGGGGTGTTTTGCTTGCGTTAAATAATTGACTACACAAGCACTATTTTCCAGTGCACGAGGAGTTTATATGGAGAACTCCTGTAACTTATTACTAATGGAAATTAACTGTGTTACCTCTCTCATCCATGAGGATACAGTTTATTCTTGCTGGTGATGCTATGTTGTTAGGGAAAAGAGGGGCTGAGAGTGGTGACAGTTTGAAAAGCCAGTAGGTTAAGGTGAACATAAATGTTCTGAACAAGGGAGAAACCCGAGTCCCACTCTGAAATATCAGCTAGGAACCTGTTTCCCATTACCTTTGGGTGGGACTTGGGTTCCCAGGTGCCTGAATTGCTTCTGGAAATGGTCTGCTAGCTTTGAGATTACTTGCTTTTCTGAACCCTATCAAGTTGGAAGGAAGCTGTTGAAGAAGAGAACTACCACTAGCATTAGCAATATGTAAAAAAAGCTTTTGTTGTGAGGTAAGACAGGAAAGATCCCTTAGTGAAATAAAAATCTCCTCTTGGGGCAATAATTGCCTTGTTTTTAGCATGAAGAGTATTGCGTTATTTCAGTGAACTGGGATCATATGAGTAAAAACCTGATCTTGTAAATTTTAGTGAGTTATCTTGAAGCATATAAATTCCTGATGTGCATTAACTTGAGCGAATTGGGCCTTAATGATCCATGTAAATAACAAACTGTATTCAGATATTTTTTTCCAGAAAATAGTCTCTAATGGTCTGTACTGTATTAAAATAAGTATCAAAAGTGTTACTTTTATATTCCCTTTTTTTTCTTTTTTTTTTTTTTTTTTAGAACATTGAAACATGCATGTTTATTCTATTTGCTACAGTATTTTAATGTTTTGGATGAAGGCCATCAGTTGTATGGAGATGACAAAACAATCATTCTGTCTATTTATTCAGTATTGCTGCTTTAAGTTTTCAAAATAAAGCTTTCAGTGCCAATATAGTGACTGATTGAAAGCTGTTCTAGCTCTCTTCAGGTGTTTTTTTCTATGTTTATAGAAAACTAGTGAAACTTGGTATATAAACTGTTATACCAGCAACGAATTATTGCAATAATATTGTGGGGAGGGGCTGGTGTTAAATGTGTGTAGTATGTACATAAATGTATGCATGCAGTGAACGCATTTAGGTCTCAAGTAAGCGGAGTGCTGAAGAATGTTTGAATCCTTTGTGGTCTGGAAATCAGCTTACCCGTGCAATCAAATGCTGGTTAGCGCTTCATGTCAGTATGCAGTGCTTATGAGGTGGTCACAGAGGATCAACTTGGAGCCCTTTGAACCAAATGGGATTTAAGCACATTCTTGAGTATTCCATAGATGCGATTCTGAACTGGGCCTAAAAGCATATTCTGATACAAAAATCTTTCAGTTGCAGCCAGGGTGACTCGTTTCAAGTGCAGCTGGTACCTCTAGAAATTTATGTGGTTCCAAGATGGATCCAGTATGCTTGCTCCATTGTAAAGGGTATCAAAATGCACAGAACGTTCACCCTCATGATCACCCTGTGAAACTACTGGTTCTGACTGGAAGATTTGAATTGCTGTTCCTTAACCTAGAGAAGCAATGCAAACTAACTGTGAAAACACAAGTGAGCATTTTATTACTGCTCTGCTTCAATGCAAGATGAAAATCTGTACTATATGTAACTATATTTTTGTCATTTAAAAAGCTTCTATTTTTTATTATCCTCATGAATGGTTAACAAAATATATTGGGATATGCTCCCACACAATAAATACCCCTCTGAAACTTTGGGTCTTTACAATTCATGGTTTGCTGGAATTGCACTGTTCATCTCGCGCGCATCTCATGACAGCTACTGGAACTCTGCCTGTCAAGGAACACTTGCCCTGAAAGCAGGCCAAGGTGAAGTTTGGTGTGCCTGGAGCTCAAACACTTTCAGAAGTGGCCATGTGCCAAGCATTAGGGTGCAATGAACCCCCCTAAATGGCAATTTATGTAGAGGTGTGAGAGACACAACTGGTTGGTATAGGGCATTTTGGCAGGCAGGAGAGGTCCTCTACCATAAACTGTGCACACGCTGTATTTTTAAGTAGATATAGTCCAGGAGCTGTAAAAGAATGGAATTGCAAGCTTGTTTTCAACTGAGGAACTGTTACTAAGATTAGTATTAATCCTGAAAAGATATAATTGATCAGTGACTCAGAGGCAGTGTAACTCAAAGCAAAGAGGCAGGGGTATGTTTGGAGATGATCAGGGGTTGGAACTGAACATACAGGGTCATCACACAACAGATAAAAGGTGCACCAGTGTTTCAGGGAGGAGGACAACATTAAGCTTTGAACAGGAACTGAAGATCTGATTCAGGTACTGTGCTGAAGACTGGAGTGCCTGTGAAGATCATTTGAGTTAATCAATACAGGGAACTTGCTGCAGCTGGGAACTTGTGATTTTAAGCCATCCAAATGCAGTCCTTAGTGTAATATCCCAACAGATGGATTTTCCTAAGCCAACTGGAGCCTAATCTCCTTAGATGCAAGAGGAAAAGAGCTCACAGTGGTAGCACTGTTGACTGGCAATGCGATCATGAGTGTCATGAACTTTGCTAAAGCCCTAGCACGTGACATTCGTATTGGTGGTACCACGTAAGTTGCAGAGGACCTCTGCTCTGGAAAGGTGCCCCTTCCTGCTTCCGTGTCAGGATTTATGGTAACTATACTTTCCCAGCATG